TAATGACTTTCTCCTCTTGACAGACAGCCATAATAACTTTTTTATGATACAGTGCATTCGGAAAGTATTCAGACCCCTTGACTTTTTCCACATTTTGTTAAGTTACAGCCTTATTCTAAAATGGATTAAATCGTTTTTTCCCCCCCTCATCAATCTACACACAATACCCCATAATGACAAAGCAAAAACAGGTTTTTAGAAATTTTTGCAAATTAAAGAGAGACACTGTCTGTCAGTGAGAAGCCTGCCTCCCTGTTCCTGATTGATCTGCCAGACACTAGTACAGAGAAGCATACAGGCCAGGGACGTCACGATGCGGCTTCACACTGACATCTCAATACAGCAGAGACCCGAGGCGGAGGCTTGGCACGCCATGGTGGCACTGGCACGCACACAGTAAACTGAAGTTTGGTCCTAATGGTGGAGGGTGGATAGTGGTAGCGTCTTGTCAGGTTGTATGCTGCTAATATTATTGCACTGTCAAGATTGTTTTTGGCTTTATGCAGATGAGTTGTTTTGGTTGACAAGACGGTGCATACTAATCAACATTTCAGTTTTGCATCTAAAACGTCCTAGTTAGCTAGCTATACCCAGCTAATTTGAATCTGTAGTGTAACAATGTGATAATGAAGGCTCCAGGTGCTCATAGGTCTTGTTGTTTTGTGGCTGCTCATCTGGATAACCATTATACTCAGTGCTTAGCATTTGAAACGAGCAGCAGCTTTTTGGGAAGCTCTATTAATTTCTCTTATGTTTTAGCGAGACTTTCTCCTCTTGACAGACAGTCATAATACCTTTTTAATGATACAGTGCATTCGGTATTCAGACCCCTTGACTTTTTCCACATTTTGTTACGTTACAGCCTTATTATAAAATGGATTAAATCCACACAATACCCCATAATGACAAAGCAAAAACTGGTTTTTAGACATTTTTGCAAATAAAAAAAACTAGCTTAAATATCACATTTACATAAGTATTCAGACCCTTTACTCAGTACTTTGTTGAAGCACCTTTGTCAGCGATTACAGCCTCGAGTCTTCTTGGGTATGACGCTACAAGCTTGGCACACCTGTATTTGGGGAGTTTCTCCCATTCTTCTCTGCAGATCCTTTCAAGCTCTGTCAGGTCGGATGGGGAGCGTCGCTGCACAGCTATTTTCAGGTCTCTCCAGAGATATTCGATCAGGTTCAAGTCCGGGCTCTGGCTGGGCCACTCAAGGACATTCAGAGACTTGTCCCAAAGCCACTCCTGCGTTGTCTTGGCTGTGTGCTTAGGGTTGTTGTCCTTTTGGAAGGTGAACCTTCACCACAGTCTGAGGTCCTGAGCGCTCTAGAGCAGGTTTTCATCAAGGATCTCTCTGTACTTTGCTCCATTAATCTTTCCCTCGATCCTGACTAGTCTCCCAGTCCCTGCCGCTGAAAAACATAATGATGCTGCCACCACTATGCTTCACCGTAGAGATTGTGCCAGCTTTCCTCCAGACGTGACGCTTGGCATTCAGGCCAAAGAGTTCCATCTTGGTTTCATCAGACCAGAGAATCTTGTTTCTCATGGTCTGAGAGTCCTTTAGGTGCCTTTTGGCAAACTCCAAGCGGGCTGTCATGTGCTTTTTACTGAGGAGTGGCTTCTGTCTGGCCACTCTACCATAAAGGCCTGATTGTTGGAGTGCTGCAAAGATGGTTGTCCTTCTGGAAGGTTTTCCCATATCCACAGAGGAACTCTGGAGCTCTGTCAGAGTGACCATCAGGTTCTTGGTCACCTCCCTGACCAAGGCCCTTCTCCCCCAATTGCTCAGTTTGGCCAAACTTCTTCCATTTAAGAATGATGGAGGCCACTGTGTTCTTGGGGACCTTCAATGCTGCAGAAATTTTTTGGTACCCTTCCCCAGATCTGTGTCTCGACACAATCCTGTCTCGGAGCTCTACGGACAATTCCTTTGACCTCATGACTTGGTTTTTGCTCTGACTTACACTGTCAACTGTGGGATCTTATATAGACAGCTGTGTGTCTTTCCAAATCATGTCCAATCAATTGAATTTACCACAGGTGGACTCCAATCAAGTTGTAGAAACATCTCAAGGATTATCAATGGAAACAGGATGCACCTGAGCTCAATTTCGAGTCTCATAGCAAAGGGTCTGAATATTTATGTAAATAAGGTATCTGTTTTTTTTGTTAATAAATGTGCAAAAATGTAAAAAATAAATACAATAAAAAACACTTTTCGCTTTGTCATTATGGGGTATTGTGTGTAGATTGATGAGGGAAAAAATATGTGTAATCCATTTTAGAATAAGGCTGTAATTTAAGAGATTGTGGAAAAGGGGAAGGTGTCTGAATACTTTCTGAATGCACTGTAAATTAGGTGACTGCCAACACCCCTGGGAGAATGTACATTTGCAGCAGCACGATCACTACTCAGCGACACAATGGTAGGGATTATCTGAGCAGGGCTTGGGTCACTGATAAATCATTGTCTCAACGCAGCCTCGAAATGCGTGGACAGTGTCCAGGAGCCAAGATGATTTGGATGGACTCTGTCATTCCTTTAGAGCATCTTCTGTTTCCAAAAGGTGTAAAAGTTATCTATAAACATTATGCCACAGTAGCCTTTTAGCCAGGTGTGTAATGCCAGTATCCTGCTGAATCTTTCACAGCCACGGCCCAGCGATGGTACCGGGCCTGAAATAATTGGCCGCTTTTTGGAATCTTTCAGAGCTAATATCAGTTATTTAAAATCAATTTTCAGCAGTTCCCGAGCTATCCCTTCTAATGTCGTTTGACCCCACATGGACTACGACAGCGTCGTGTGTATGAATCTGTACTGTATGTGTGCATGTGTGTTCCTGTAGGTGTGTGTGGGAAGACATCTGTACATGAATTGCAGGCCGGTGTGTAACGCTGGAACCTAAGGCTGTGATGTTGTGGTCACTGCAACAAAGCCAGAGGGTTAGAGGAAAAGGCCAATTCCACTAATGAAATGTTACCACTTTAAACCCCCAGTCATGTTATCTGGTTCTCCAGTCAACTTGTAGCATCTCTTTTAAACCAATGCCCTCAGCTCCCAGTGTTTAATTAACTGGCTTCAGTCTGGTGAACACAAGTGAGGAAAGGATTTGATGACTTTGTGGTTTGATGGTTTCAAAAGGTCACCTGTGGTACCACCTGTCCATGTTGGTAAATCAGACCCTGCATCTAGACTAAACAATAACTAAAGCTACTCCCCTCCGATACTACTTTCCCAAAACAAGGACGGCCCTCTTTCTGCCCTGTAGTTGGCTCAACGTGTTAGATCTGTGAAAGGAGAGGATAGTAGTAAGTGTGACTCGGACATGAGCTCTGTGAGGACAATAGGCCTGATATATTACCAACTAATATTTTAGGATGACAAAAACACCAACAGGTCACCGAACACAAGCACACCCAGAGATGTCTTATCTTTCAAAAACTGACTGAGCATATCATGACCAAAAGGTTTTTCTATTGGGCTCATAGGTTAATGATGTCATTTGTCCATAATTTTTTACATGCGTCAAAAGTTGAAATAAGTTGAACTTTTGACGGATAGTGTCGTAGTAAATATTAAAATGTTATAGCTTGGTCTGACTAAAATCTTGTGCATGACCCATTTTAATGTTAGGAGCTTGTTTTCAATCAATGCTGTTCCTATGCAAGAACAATGGACAGAGCCAATATCTTCTCAAGGACAACACCCACGCCACAGGCCACAATCTGGTTGCTCCCCACGAGTCTTTCCTTTGAGAACATACACACATTCACACACACATCTCCATGCATACGCACACTCATCCTCATGCCTCACGAGTTACGCACACACACAAACTGCACTTCTTTCTACTGGTCGGGTGCCTAGGGCAGAGGACTCTGCCGTGCACAAAATGGGGCTTCTACTCTGGACAGAGCAGACCCGCCTCCTACGCCTCCGGAACCAATCAAGGGACTAGAAGAAGGACCCCTTCCTTTGTGTTGCATTGTATAAAGTAATGCTGAAAACTCTGTTTTTGATCCCTTTTCAACTGTCTCCATAAGAGGCAACTGAATGGGTCCATGCATGTAGCTTGAGCAGATACCAGCTATCTCTGTGTTTAATAAACTGCCTTTTGCTTAAGCATATTCCTCTCCGTCTAGCGTCGTTGGTTTGTACTTCCTCTCCTTATGGTTCCACCAACAATAGACAGATGCATAGAGAGCTCTTCATGCATTTCATCCTTCTCTGCATACTATCCTCATCAAATTACGTCTCCTTCCACTGAATCACCAGCACTCAATCGATAGGAAACAACACCAACACAAGGTGACATTGTGCTTCACTTGTGCTCAAAGCAGTTTAAAAAAAGATCTTATCCCATTTTACTCTTGGTAACTTAAACACAATGAAGTGTTCAAAACCACACTTAGAAGCTGCAATTTCAACATCACCTAACAAAGATCCTCTGACATAAAAAAAGATAGAGGAATACAGGAAGCTAGATTGTTGATGAGAATCAGAACCTCAATTGCCTTTTTATCATTTGTGTTTGTGCCTGCTTACTGTAGATGACTAAGTGGTGTGTGTTTCATCCACAAATATTAGCAGCATTGTGAATCGACCCTCATGTCCTCATGCTTTAAGACTGAATCACGCAAGGTAAAATTTTTAAAGCGTGAACAGCTCCGATGAAGGACATTTGAGCCGTACTGCTTGAAAGCCTTGTGTTTCTCGATTGGCTGGGGTTCAGTACAGTCAGGGTTAGGAGGGTGAGAGACGACCCTCTCCAACACGAACACAGTGTACATTTTCATTCCAGATCTGTATCTATTTTTATACCATTGAGCAGTGGATGAAGGAAAACCCACAGATGAAAATAGTGACAGCCCTTAGAGTACATCTCATGGTCAGAGATATGTTTTTTTTCTTTCTTCACATGGTGCATTAAACATATGTTAGTGTTCAAAGGTACATATAGCTTTCATCCATAGATGTAAAGAGGCCTACCTGCGTTTAAGTGGCACTCCTTGATCTGGTACTGCAGCTCGTTCTCATTTGGGATATCTTTCCAGGTGGCCAGGAACACCTGTCGCTCTGAGGCAGATGAAGATGGGGGGGAGAAATAAGAGTGACACCAGAACTGAGCGGGGAGCTACTTCCTGTGAAGTTGCTAATTTACACTTGACTTGTACAAAGGTCCTTGTGTTGGTATAAAATAAACTCTTCAAACTCTTTGGTGATAATTACTCTGCTATGGTAATGACATGGATATTGAGTGTTTGAGAGTGTTGCTTCCAGACGCACGTACCCATTTTACCGTCCTCCACAAAGAAAATATTAAGTGGGATAAGCCCGCTGAAGTAGAAGACGTCAATGTTGTTCTTCACAGCCACCTGTGGACAAAAGACAACACAACGTTAATATGACATCAGTCAGTGCCGTAGTGCCATGCACTAGAGGTGGCTGATTTGGACATATGGAATTCCAATAAGTCCTCAAACACTTCTGAGCACTTAGGAGCATGAGAAAAATGCGACAGACAACTGTAAATATAGAATTGCTCTAAACAAGAAAAAGTGCTCTTGAAATTTCCATGCAGCGTCTATCATGGCTAGACAGAAGTGAGACTGGAGATGTGTCTATTTGTGAGTGTGGGTGGCAAGGGCTTAAAGCTGATCGAGTGTGTGGGATGTTGGACTCTGCGACTAATGGGCACTCTTGAGCTCTCTCTGAACTTGATTATTATTTCTGGCTTCATGGAGTGACCCTCCGGCATCGGCAGGCAGTCCTGTCCCTACTCTGTTCATAAATAGACATTATCAGAAGACCAGATCCCATCCAGCGTCACCTGTACTTGACAGGAGCACTGTGTGAAAGTTGCGCACTGCCAAGCACCGAGGACACATACAGAGAGAAACATAAATACAAACACACAAACTTAATCTACTATGACCGAGTTGTCTGTTCCATGGAGACTTTTCCCCATTAGCTCACGACACAACTCGCATCGTGACACAACATGGAATTAGAGCCCTGTCAGTAAATCAGTTAATCCACAAAAGCACAATCGTCTCCACCTACACATCTGAACCAAACTGACGTCCTGTCTGGGCTCCATCAAATCCCTGTGATAAAACACCCAAGCTCATTACAGAGGCCTTTGATTTGTTTAGTGTCACATGATCTGAGTCATTGACATACTAATAAAGAATATCAACACACAAGACGCATCACAATGGGGAGGTGTCGGAATCATCTGGTAAATATCCCTAGGCTGTGTTGTGATTAAGTGCCAAAACTGCTAATAACTGTTCTCTTTGTTAGTACTTAGATAAGTCTTCATTACAACTTGGGGTCTCTGCGGTAATTATTAGAACGAATACTGAGGTGAATCAGGGTCAGTAGTGTCACTTCCAGTAGCTAGGAATAGAAGCTGTTGTATGGTGGGATTGGTAGCTATTTATAGTCATAATTATCAATTACTCGATCTGCTATTTTCTTATGGAATGGCCTAAGGACAAATGTGATTGACAAAATGTGTCACAACAGACGCCAAACATTGAGCAAGCCTTCTGAAAAAACATACAGAAGCGTTTGAATATTCCTTATAGAATGCAATTGAGTCATTCTGCATTCATGAGTAAGTAGCTATTGATGAGCAGTGTTCATTTGAACAGTGCGTGGATCCAACCCAGATGAACAGCTGTGGTGTGGCGAGCTCATAAACACTCTAAAGGTGGTCTGTTTACCACAGGGCCTTCAGACAGACAGACATATGCACACACACACACACACACACACACACACAATACCCACGGCAAGAACAGGAAAAGGAGGAATCATTATAGGTTGGAGGCTATAAGCACAAACAAAGTAGCTGTCTCAACTGGAGAGCCCTGTACAGCAGGGTTCTTTGGGCTGAATAGTTTCCAGCGCCATCTCTCTCTGAGCCACTGAACAGTGAGAATGAGATGACTGGAACTACTAAAGTCTGCTGATGGATGGGCTGCTTTCCAGGATAGCTGAGTAGCTGTAATATATTGCCATTATATAGGCCTACGTGCATATTACCATAGAATATACAGAGCTTTAAAAAGGGCTATGTATTCAATTTCTGAGACAGTATTTACAGAAAGCGATTCTAGTGAAGTGCCTTACTTCCATTAAAATGTGAGCTTATGAAACAAGAGTTTGTGCGGGGGCACTGAAAGCTGGAGTCCATTGTCCAGCTGGTGGCTGTCCTGTGGTGGTGGAGCACATTAGATCTAACACTGTGGGCTCAAACTACTAACACACTTTACTGCCCTCGGCTTGACAGCCATGTGTGGGCTGAAGACTGAACCCTCCAGCTCATCTCTCTGTTAGACCTAACCCCTTCCATCAGAATGTCAGCATCAAAACGTATTGATTCAGAGAGGCAAGATGTGAAATCTATTTGGACGCAAGGCAGAAGCACCCAATTCTGTTGATTATTCTATGCATTTTACCATGGCTAATGCTGTGCACAGACCCAGTTTAGGGGGGCCATAACATTTTGAACCTTAATCGAAGGAAGGTGGATTTTTTCAATATAATTATGATGGTTCAATGCATTAAATGCTTCAGCTTAGGTTTGGTACATTTCCCTGTTCAAATAAACCATGAATCAATTCCAAACGTCTTGTTACAGTGCTGGCATTCAAGGTCAGGATTGTATATAAGGTTATTAGCATACAGCAGTAAATTCACTTGAAAGTGCCATCCAGAGCGAGAATTATACCGTGACATTCGGGGGTGTCTACTTTTTTAACCGCACCTTTTATGTCATTTAACTGTACAAATTTACAGTGAGGGAAAAAAGTATTTGATCCCCTGCTGATTTTGTACATTTGCCCACTGACAAAGACATGATCAGTCTATAATTTTAATGGTAGGTTTATTTGAACAGTGAGAGACAGAATAACAACAAAAAAATCCAGAAAAACGCATGTCAGAAATGTTATAAATTGATTTGCATTTTAATGAGGGAAATAAGTATTTGACCCCGCTGCAAAACATTACTTAGTACTTGGTGGCAAAACCCTTGTTGGCAATCACAGAGGTCAGACGTTTCTTGTAGTTGGCCACCAGGTTAGCACACATCTCAGGAGGGATTTTGTCCCACTCCTCTTTGCAGATCTTCTCCAAGTCATTAAGGTTTCGAGGCTGACGTTTGGCAACTCGAACCTTCAGCTCCCTCCACAGATTTTCTATGGGATTAAGGTCTGGAGACTGGCTAGGCCACTCCAGGACATTAATGTGCTTCTTCTTGAGCCACTCCTTTGTTGCCTTGGCCGTGTGTTTTGGGTCATTGTCATGCTGGAATACCCATCCACGAGCCATTTTCAATGCCCTGGCTGAGGGAAGGAGGTTCTCACCCAAGATTTGACGGTACATGGCCCCGTCCATCGTCCCTTTGATGTGGGGAAGTTGTCCTGTCCCCTTAGCAGAAAAACACCCCCAAAGCATAATGTTTCCACCTCCATGTTTGACGGTGGGGATGGTGTTCTTGGGGTCATAGGCAGCATTCCTCCTCCTCCAAACACGGCGAGTTGAGTTGATGCCAAAGAGCTCCATTTTGGTCTCATCTGACCACAACACTTTCACCCAGTTTTCCTCTGAATCATTCAGATGTTCATTGGCAAACTTCAAACGGGCATGTATATGTGCTTCCTTTAGCAGGGGGACATTGCGAGCGCTGCAGGATTTCAGTCCTTCACGGCGTAGTGTGTTACCAATTGTTTTCTTGGTGACTATGGTCCCAGCTGCCATGAGATCATTGACAATATCCTTTCATGTAGTTCTGGGCTGATTCCTCACCGTTCTCATGATCATTGCAACTCCACGAGGTGAGATCTTGCATGGAGCCCCAGGCCGAGGGAGATTGACAGTTCTTTTGTGATTCTTCCATTTGCTAATAATCGCACCAACTGTTATCACCTTCTCACCAAGCTGCTTGGCGATGGTCTTGTAGCCCATTCCAGCCTTGTGTAGGTCTACAGATTCTAGTTTGGAATCTGATTGATTGATTGCTTCTGTGGACAGGTGTCTTTTATTATTATTATTATTATTATTATTATTATTATATACAGGTAACAAACTGAGATTAGGAGCACTCCCTTTAAGAGTGTGCTCCTAATCTCAGCTCGTTACCTGTATAAAAGACACCTGGGAGCCAGAAATCTTTCTGATTGAGAGGGGGTCAAATACTTATTTCCCTCATTAAAATGCAAATAAATTTATAACATTTTTGACATGCATTTTTCTGGATTTTTTTGTTGTTATTCTGTCTCTCATTGTTCAAATAAACCTACCATTAAAATTATAGACTTATCATGTCTTTGTCAGTGGGCAAACGTACAAAATCAGCAGGGGATCAAATACTTTTTTCCCTCACTGTATTACCTTTAAATGTGTCTTGAACACAACCAGTCATGATGTTTTCATCTAATTGTCAGATACCTGCGCAATTTCGTCTACTCAAAAATAAGTCCAGCATCCGAACAGTGCACTCACCATTTGAATGGAAAGGGACATCTACACTGAACAAAAATATAAACTCAACATGTAAAGTGTTGGTCCCATGTTTCATGAGCTGAAAAAAAAGATCCCAGAAATGTTCCATACGCACAAAAAGCTTATTTCGTGCATTTCTACTATTTTGGCCCATTCCTCCATGCAGATCTCCTCTAGAGCAGTGATGTTTTGGGGCTGTCGCTGGGCAACACGGACTTTCAACTCCCTCCAAAGATTTTCTATGGGGTTGAGATCTGGAGACTGGCTAGGCCACTCCAGGACCTTGAAATGCTTCTTACGAAGCCACTCCTTTGTTGCCCGGGCGGTGTGTTTGGGATCATTGTCATGCTGAAAGACCCAGCCACGTTTCATCTTCAATGCCCTTGCTGATGGAAGGAGGTTTTCACTCAAAATCTCACGATACATGGCCCCATTCATTCTTTCCTTTACACGGATCAGTCGTCCTGGTCCCTTTGCAGAAAAACAGCCCCAAAGCATGATGTTTCCACCCCCATGCTTCACAGTAGGTATGGTGTTCTTTGGATGCAACTCAGCATTCTTTGTCCTCCAAACACGACGAGTTGAGTTTTTACCAAAAAGTTCTATTTTGGTTTCATCTGACGATATGACATTCTCCCAATCCTCTTCTGGATCATCCAAATGCACTCTAGCAAACTTCAGACGGGCCTGGACATGTACTGGCTTAAGCAGGGGGACACGTCTGGCACTGCAGGATTTGAGTCCCTGGCGGCGTAGTGTGTTACTGATGGTAGGCTTTGTTACTTTGGTCCCAGCTCTCTGCAGGTCATTCACTAGGTCCCCCCGTGTGGTTCTGGGATTTTTGCTCACCGTTCTTGTGATCATTTTGACCCCACAGGGTGAGATCTTGCGTGGAGCCCCAGATCGAGGGAGATTATCAGTGGTCTTGTATGTCTTCCATTTCCTAATAATTGCTCCCACAGTTGATTTCTTCAAACCAAGCTGCTTACCTATTGCAGATTCAGTCTTCCCAGCCTGGTGCAGGTCTACAATTTTGTTTCTGGTGTCCTTTGACAGCTCTTTGGTCTTGGCCATAGTGGAGTTTGGAGTGTGACTGTTTGAGGTTGTGGACAGGTGTCTTTTATACTGATAACAAGTTCAAACAGGTGCCATTAATACAGGTAACGAGTGGAGGACAGAGGAGTCTCTTAAAGCAGAAGTTACAGGTCTGTGAGAGCCAGAAATCTTGCTTGTTTGTAGGTGACCAAATACTTATTTTCCACCATAATTTGCAAATAAATTCATTAAAAATCCCACTGTGATTTTCTGGAGAAAAAAAATCTCAATGTGTCTGTCATAGTTGACGTGTACCTATGATGAAAATTACAGGCCTCTCATCTTTTTAAGTGGGAGAACTTGCACAATTGGTGGCTGACTAAATACTTTTTTCCCCCACTGTGTGTATATATATATATATATATATATATATATATATATATATATATATATATATATATATATATATATATATATATATATATATATATATATATATATATTTGCAAGAAAAAAAACATGGGGGATTGGAAGTGATGCGGACAATTACATTGATGGAAGTTACATCTATCTGCAATATTAACGCTGATCTACCCCCTAAAAAAATATAATCCATCCACCTGACAGGTGTGGGATATCAAGCTGATTAAACAGCATGATCATTACAGAGCTGCACCTTGTGCTGGGCACAATAAAAGGCCACTTTAAAATGTGCAGTTTTGTCACACAACACAACGCCACAGATGTATCAAGTTTTGAGGGAGCATGCAATTGGCATGCTGACTGCAGGAATGTCCATCAGAGCTGTTGCCAGATAATTTAATGTTAATTCCTCTACCAAACGTCGTTTTAGATCATTTGGCAGTACGTCCAACCGGCCTCACAAACCACGTGTAACCATGTCAGCCCAGGACCTCCACATCCGGCTTCTTCACCTGCGGGATCGTCTGAGACCAGCCACCCGGACAGCTGATGAAACAGTGGGTTTGCACAACCAAAGAATTTCTGCACAAACTGTCAGAAACCGTCTCAGGGAAGCTCATCTGCGTGCTCGTCGTCCTCACCAGGGTCTTGACTTGACTGCAGTTCGGCGTCGTAAACAACTTCAGTGGGCAAATGCTCACCTTCGATGGCCACTGGCACGCTTGAGAAGTGTGCTCTTCACGGATGAATCCCAGTTCCAACTGTGGCTGTGGGGTTATGGTATGGGCAGGAATAAGCTACGGACAATGAACACAATTGCATTTTATCGATAGCAATTTGAATGCACAGAGATACCATGACGAGATCCTGAGGCCCATTGTCATGCCATTCATCCGCCGCCATCACCTCATGTTTCAGCATGATAATACACGGCCCCATGTTGCAAGGATCTGTACACAATTCGTGGTTCTTCCACTCACCAGACATGTCATCCATTGAGCATGTTTGGAATGCTCTGGATCGACGTGTACGACAGCGTTTTCCAGTTCCCGCCAATATCCTACATGTACAAATTACCTCGACTAACCTGTACCCCTGCAAACTGACTCGGTACCGGTAGCCCCTGTATATAGCCTCATTATTGTTATTTTATTGTGTTACTTTTTATTTTATTTTTTATTTTATTTAGTAAATATTTTCTTAACTCTATTTTCTTCAAACTGCATTGTTGGTTAAGGGCTTGTAAGTAAGCATTTCACGGTAAGGTCTACACCTGTTGTATTCAGCGCATGTGACAAATAATATTTGATTTTATTTGATATCCAGCAACTTCGCACAGCCATTGAAGAGGAGTGGGACAACATTCCACAGGCAACAATCAACAGCCTGATTTACTCTATGTGAAGGCAAATGGTGGTCACACCAGATACTGACTGGTTTTCTGATCCACGCCCCTACCGTTTTTTTAAAGGTATCTATAAACAACAGGTACATATCTATATTCCCATTCAAGTGAAATCCATAGATTAGGGCCTAATTTATTTATTTCAATTGATTGATTTCCTTATATGAAATGTAACTCAGTAAAATCTTTGAAATTGTTGCATGTTGCATTTATATTTTTGTTCAGTGTATTACAAATACCATAAGAGTAATGACATTCAACCTACAAAGTGGTGTGTATTCTTGGATGCCAAGGGAAACCAAGATTCCCCCAAAATGTTAATGAAAATTATTTCTCATTCGTGTCAATCAGTGTTTCTTAATTTTCTTTCATTTTGCAAGAGGCTGAATTTATTTCACCAGAGAAAGCATCTGAGCGAGGTAAACAGTGCCCCTCTGTCTTGGTATCTATAGCCCATGTATCTGATGCTGTCTGGCCAAAAAGAATATGACATGTCATACTCTTTTTGTCCAGACAGCATCAGACACATGCAGGATTCTTCCCAGGATTCTTTAACAAGGTGGTGGTGCTGTTGAGTACAGCAGGGAGGGGGAAGTGACCCCCTTTGGACTCAGAGATTCTTTAGTATTTTAACACCTGTAACTGTCATGTCCTGCAATCTAGAGCAAAAAATACTCAATTCGGGTGTGGTGCCTGGCCTAAAATTACAACAAATAAAGTTTCAAAAATATATATATTTTTAAAGAGCACCCTTCTTACTTTCTTTGGGGAGAAGCCTGCACATGGGCTACATATACTAAGATAGAGTGGCTCCGTTTCACATGGTGAAGATATTAATTACACTTCGGATATTGTATCAATACACCCAGTCACTACAAAGACAGGCGTCCTTCCTAACTCAGTTGCAGGAGAGGGAGGGAACCGCTCAGCGATTTCACCTTGAGGCCAATGGTGACTTTAAAACAGTTACAGAGTTTATTGGCTGTGATAGGAGAAAACTGAGGATGGATCAACAACATTGTAGTTACTCCATAATACTAACCTAATTGACAGAGTGAAAAGAAGGAATCCTGTACAGAATTAAAATATTCAAAAATATGCATCCTGTTTGCAACAAGGCACTAAATTAATACTGCAAAAAATGTGGCAAAGCAATTAACTTTTTGTCCTGAGTACAAAGTGTTATGTTTGGGGCAAATCCAATACAACACATTCCGGAGTACCACTTTCCATATTTTCAAGCATAGTGGTGGCTGCATCATGTTTTGGGTATGCTTGTAATCGTTAAGGACTGGGGAGTTTTTCAGGATAAAAAAAATTACAGAATGGAGCTAATCACAGGCAAAATCCTAGAGGAAAACTTGGTTCAGTCTGCTTTCCACCAGACACTGTGAGATGAATTCACCTTTCAGCAGGACAATAACTTAAAACACAAGGCCAAATCTACACTGGAGTTTACCAAGAAAACTGTGAATGTTCCTGAGTGGCTGAGTTACAGTTTTGACTTTAATCTACTTGAAAATATATGGAAGACTTGAAAATGGTTGTCTAACAATGATCAACAACCAATATGACAGATCTTGAAGAATAATGGGCAAATGTTGCACAATCCAGGTGTGGAAAATTCTTAGAGACTTACATTTACATTTTTAGTCATTTAGCAGACGCTCTTATCCAGAGCGACTTACATGAGCAATTAGGGTTAAGTGCCTTGCTCAAGGGCACATCGGCATATTTTTCACCTAGTCGGCTCGGGGATTAGAACCAGCGACCTTTCGGTTACTGGCACAACGCTCTTAACCACTAACCTACCTGCCGCCCTACACAGAAAGACTCACAGCTGTAATCTTTCTACCCCTGTAGCTCAGTTGGTAGAGCATGGCGCTTGCAACGCCAGGGTTGTGGGTTCGTTTCCCACGGGGGGCCAGTATGAAAATGTATGCATTCACTAACTGTAAGTTGCTCTGGATAAGAGCGTCTGCTAAATGACTAAAATGTAAAATGTAACCGCTGCCAAAAGGTGCTTCTACAAAGTATTGACTCAGGGGTGTAAATCCTTATATAAATAAATGTGCGAAAAAATCTAGAAACACATTTTCACTTTGTCATTATGGGGTACTGTGTGTAGATGGGTGAGAAGAAAAAAAAGTTATCAATTTTGAATTCAGGCTGTAACACAACAAAATGTGGAATAAGTCAAGGTGTATGAATACTTTTCTGAAGGCACTGTAGGTACATTATCTTTTCTACTTAATTTATATCTGGTTTTAGTCGTTTAAGTTTACACTGAAAGCGTTTTTCCAATCCAGAAAATGTATTAAAAATATATACATATTTACACTGTTTGGACTTCGGTGAACCGAAGAAACGCTTAGGCGGCCCGCCCAAGGATTAAAATGGCAGAAAATCCCTGAGACTGATTAATCATGATATCTTTTGCAGACCAGGTAGGCTGCTCTTGCCTAGCATGCCTTACGTAACCAGAAAGTATATGTAGGAGTTTACCTGTAGGTTGTTCAGTGGGTCCATCTTCATGACTGGCCCAATGGTGTTGAGAGGCAGGGAAACTTCGATACTCTGGCTGGGCATCAGTGGAGTGTGGATGGGCAGAGGGGTGGTGGGGATCACTCCGAAACTAGACAACATAAATTGCATAACAGGGTCTTAATAAGTGCTTCAGGTGACTGGAGCTAAATGCACTACATGAGCAAAAGTATGTGGACACCTGCTCGTCGAACATCTCATTCCAAAATCATGGGTATTAATATGGAGTTGGTCCCCCCTTTGCTGCTATAACAGCCTCCACTCTTATGGGAAGGCTTTCCACTAGATGTTGGAACATTGCTGCAGGGACTTGCTTCCATTCAGCCACAAGAGCATTAGTGAGGTCTGGCACTGATGTTGGGCGATTAGGCCTGCAGTCGGCGTTCCAATTCATCTCAAAGGTGTTCGATGGGGTTGAGGTCAGGGCACTGTACAGGCCAGTCAAGTTCTTCCACACCGATCTCGACAAACCATTTCTGTATGGACCTCACTTTGTGCACAGGGGCATTGTCATGTTGAAACAGGAAAGGGCCTTCCCCAAACTGTTGCCAAAAAGTTGGAAGCACAGAATCGTCTAGAATGTCATTGTATGCTGTAGCATTAAGATTTCCCTTCACTGGAACTATGAACCATGAAAAACAGCCCCAGACCATTATTCCTCCTCCACCAAACTTTACAGTTGGCGCTATGCATTGGCGCAGGTAGCGTTCTCCTGGCATCCGCCAAAGCCAGATTTGTCCATGCGACTGCCAGATGGTGAAGCGTGATTCATCACTCCAGAGAACGCGTTTCCACTGCTCTAGAGTCCAATGGCGGCGAGCTTGACACAACTCTAGCCGATGCTTGGCATTGTGCATGGTGATCTTAGGCTTGTGTGCGGCTGCTCGGCCATGGAAACCCATTTCATAAAGCTCCCGACGAACAGTTCCTTGTGCTGATGTTGCTTCCAGAGGCAGTTTGGAACTCGGTAGTGAGTGTTGCAACCGAGGACAGACGATTTACAACGTGCTACGCGCTTCAGCACTCGTCGGTCCCGTTCTGTGAGCTTGTGTGGCCTGCCACTTCGCGGCTGAGCCGTTGTTGCTCCTAGACGTTTCCATTTCACAATAACAGCACATACAGTTGACCGGAGCAGCTATAGCAGGGCAGAAATTGTATTAACTGACTTGTTGGAAAGGTGGCATCCTATGACGGTGCCACGTTGAAAGTCACTGAGCTCTTCAGTAAGGTCATTCTATTGCCAATGTTTGTCTATGGAGATTGCATGGCTGTGTGCTCGATTTTATACACTTGTCAGCAATGGGTGTGGCTAAGATAGCCGAATCCACTAATTTAAAGGGGTGTCCACATACTTTTATATACACAGTGTATAAGTCTGCTATTCACAATTCCCTGCATTCCAGAGTAGTGGTCGTGTTTAGTTATCATACAGTATGCTCCCATACTGTACCAACATAAGGAGCCGAGTGCACATAACATACCATTCCATGTATGCCCAGGGACTAAGACTCACATTTAGACTCATTGTACGATTTTTGCGAAGTACATGACAATAAATAGCCATATCCCTTTCACTAAGTGGATCATTTCTGAGAACTAACCTATTATCTATTAACAATGTGTTTAGTGAATGGCCATGATTATAGTGAATGGAGAGTCACGATGAGCTTGGATCAGGTTAGTGTGAACAAAAGGCAGAGAGAAGTTTTTTTACAGTGAGGCCACAGAGGACCTTGAATGCTAGTACAGATTAGATATTGTCTTGCATCTTTATCCGAAGTCCCTGAGACACAGTGTCAGCCACAGTGCAGTTTAAGAGGTTAAGGGCACAATGGCAAGAGATGGCATCTAGGATTTGATACCAGTCGCCCCCTCTCTCACCTGTTCTTGTTGAACTGGATAGCGAAGTCGGTCATGTGCTGCAGGGCCTTGTTGGTGAAGGTCATGTCCATGTACATTTGGCCCTGTCGGCGGGAGAATGTGCCTGAGATCTCCAGCCCTTTAGCTTTCACTGCAGGTAGCCATATCTTGGGGAAGAGATAGACAGTACATAAAGAAATATGAACATGCAAACTGCTTCACCCATACCTGGGAGCAGAGAGAGCACACAAGGTCATTTGAAAATGACAACCTGAGTCATACAGGATTTGCACAACAATTACTGAACTACGTGTCTGTGCTGTGTTGCCCATTAATTTTATTGAGTCGGACACAAAGGGAGATGGAGAATGGAGTCCGTAAATTAAGATGGATACCTTGGACAGAATGCTATGTCCTGCTGCTACATAGCAACAAGTACTAATCAACAGCACACATACCACAGCGAGGACTTTGTGAGCCTCTTCTGCATGACTCAACTGTATGATATATCTAAATGAACCATTTTGAACAGGAATCTAGGGTGGAGCCTGTTGATGCCAACTTGGACTTAACACACCCCTCCTTTCGCCCCTGCCAAACAACGTCATAACTATATTTATGCACTGTCCTACATGAAGAGTGACTTTGCTGCAGGGCTCAAGGTTCTGTATGCATTTCTCTGCTTGCTAGGTGCTAATGAGTTAGTATTAGCATTCTGATCAGCTTTATCTGAGCTTTATTCTCTGCCCTTGCTGGTGTGCCAACTCAGCGATGAAAATCTACTTTATCCCAACATAGTGCTAACATTAGCATATATCATTAACATTAGCATATAGCATTAATATTAGCATTTAGCTCTGGCTAACATTAGCATTGAACATCAACATAAGCATTTAGCTGTGGGTACTCACAGACTTTGGGGTAACATAGCCTCCTGTGGTGATGGCCATGCCTGTGGAGAGCTCAAACAGGTCGTTGAGGCCGCTGCTGAGCACAGCAGGAGTGGGCGATGGGGCGAATGTGTTGGGAACTGACGAGGGGATAAAGTTCTGTCCCACCTGAGTCACACACACAGGCACACAAAAAAAACATACAGGACATCAGCACAACTATGAATCCAGAACGTACCTCATCGACGGTTCTCTAGCGACCTTCGGTAAAGAGACAGGTTCCAAACTCATCGTTGTTGTCAAGCGCTCAGAGCGGGTTTCAAATAACAATGGTGGCACCTTCTAATGATTTATTTTTAAAGACAATATCATGATCGACAAATATGATTTCGTACATTCACTAAAGCTGAAATCCTGACATGAGAAATACATTCTCCAATACTCTGATTTGCAGAGGTCGAAACTAGTTTGTGTATCTTCAGTCAGAATTTCGGCCTATGATTTCGCAATTTGAGCAATCCTCCACAGGAATACGTTATCTTTTTTCCCCATCAGTGGCAAGCAAGGTCAAACGTGAGGCGTGAGTGTGCGGGGAAAAAATAGTTTGTCCAGCTTTGAACTGTGTGGCAGTTCAGTTTTGACTCCAGCTAGAACCTCTAAGAGCATGCAGCATGCAGACGGGGGGGCAGGCAGACGGACAAACGGAAGGGCTCACTTACTGCTGGACTTCCCCCAACACCTCCTCCCAGGTCTCCCCCCAACTACAGGTGAGAGAAGAGAGGACCCATATCCAGCACCCGCATCCAGATAGACAGGGACACAGAGAGAGAGATAGAGGTACTTAGCAATAGCAACCCATCCCCAACCCCACCCCACAACAGCAATACAATCCATATACTGCCTAGAAAATGGCAAAGGTTATTATGAAGATAGTAAATTTGGCACAGTGAAATGGTTATCAGGAAGCATCAGTTAGTCAGGAGACAAGAAAACCTTGGCAAAACATGAACATTGAGATGGAAGAATAGCTCATTGCGAAATACATTAGATACACCTATTTGAAATTCACAAAAAGTGACACGTATAATAGCTTTAAATGTATTGGGCTCCTTTCATTTTCTCCAGTTGAATTTTTACAGGGGTGTAAAGGGAAGATAAAGTGATTAAAGCAATCAAGTCTCAGCCTACACAAAATATTCAAAGATGCATCCTCAGTAGAATCTCTAAAATCATTTTGTATTTGAGACGCAAAATATCCATCTCAAAGGCTGGTTGCAAAAATAGAATTATGTATGTAACCATTGTGATATTCAGGACAAAACTTCCTTTGAGACCTGGCACTCTTAGTTAAATGCATTGTGACCGTGAGAAGTCACCTTGACAGCCACTTAGTGAGACTGGAATAACATAAAATAATGTTATAGCCTAAGACCCAGCAAGGCACAAATCACATGCTGGTATTGGGCCGTTAAAAGGCAGATAGAAAAGCTTTGGCGCAAGCAATGTTAGAAGCAATGTTCAAGACATCTTGAGGATATTTGACCTTGGGGAATCTAAATGTATGAAATTCTCTCACTTTCAAACATAGTGCCTTCAGAAAGTATTCATACCCTTGTTCCACATTTTGTTGTGTTACAGCCTGAATTCAAAATTGATTACTTATTTTTTTTACCATCTACACACAATAACAAAGTGAAAACATGTTTTTATAATTTTTTGCTAATCTATTGAAAATTAAATACAGAAATATCTCATTTACATAAGTATTCACACCCCTGAGTCAATACATGTTAGATTCACCTTTGGCAGCGATTACAGCTGTGAGTCTTTCTGGGTAAGTCTAAGAGCTTTGCACACCTGGATTGTACAATATTTGCCCATAATTCTTTTTTAAATTAAAGTCAAGTTGGTTGTTGGTCATTGCGAGACAAGACATTTTCAAATCTTGCCATAGATTTTCAAGCCGATTTAAGTCATAACTGTAACTAGGCCACTCTGAAAAATTAAATGTCGTCTTAGTAAGCGACTCCAGTGTATATTTCTCCTTGTGTTTTAGGTTATTGTCCTGCTGAAAGGTGAATTTGTCTCCCAGGGTACAGAGATAAGGTAGTCATTCAAAAATCATGTTATACACTATTATTGCAAACAGAGTGAGTCCATGCAACTTATTATGTGACTTGTTAAACACATTTTTACTCCTGAAATTATTTAGGCTTTCCATGAAAAAGGGGTTGAATACTTACTGACTCAAGACAGTTCAGCCTTTAATTTGTAATGAATTTGAAAAAAAATTGAAAAACAAAATTCCACTTTGACATTATGGGGTATTGTGTGTAGGACAGTGACAGAAAATCAAAATTTAATCAATTTTAAATTCAGCCTATAACACAGCAAAATGTGGAAAAACTCAAGAGGTGTGAATACTTTCTGAAGGCATCATTATAATGAAGTGTAATCAATTAACTGTCTTCTAATGTTTGAACCCAACATTGTACCACAAGTGGATAATGCTTTGGTTTGACAAACTGTTTGATAGACTGTTTCTACATTTCAGACTCGAAAATTGACCATCCTGAATGAGTTTACCACAAGATACACCTAGTTCCGCGAGCTTGCACAAAAGTACATTGTGTTCAGCCCTCCCTTGACGATGTGGTTTCTTTTGAAGATGAACCACTCAGAAGAAAATGGCTGAATGCTGTGGCCTTTTCACAGTGTTATGTTAAGAGACCGCTGGGAGTCGTTGTCAACTACGCTGAATTAACCCTTACTTCCACACCTGCGAAGGGGAACTGGCAGACTAGTCAATATTGTCTCACTTCACCCTCACACTGACATAATTTTTTCTAGCATATTAATATTCTTGATATTTACCCAGGGTTGAAGTACCAGCTTTTGACCAGCGGCAAGAGATGCAAGTCACAGAGTTGGAGAAGTCTATTAAAATGGGAAAGAAGTGTCTGGAAATACTGCCAAAGTTTTATACTGACGATACAAGGGCCTTTTAGGAATGCGAAATATAAACAGGACAGCTAATTTACATACTGCAGGAGAGGGAAGTTTCAGGCTCTTCAATAATAAAACAAAAATGGGGCAGTTAACTGTCACATACATTTTTTATTGGGAGACGGACGTACCGTCCTTCGCAATTTGAGCGGGTGTTCAAAATTCCATCCATATAAACTCAGCAAAAAAAGAAACGTCCTCTCACTGTCAACTGTGTTTATTTTCAGCAAACTTAACATGTGTAAATATTTGTATGTACATAAGATTCAACAACTGAGACATTAACTGAACAGAAATTGAATAATGTGTCCCTGAACAAAGGGGGGATCAAAATCAAAAGTAACAGTCAGTATCTGGTGTGGCCACCAGCTGCATTAAGTACTGCAGTGCATCTCCTCCTCATGGACTGCACCAGATTTGCCAGTTCTTGCTGTGAGATGTTCCACCAAGGCACCTGCAAGTTCCCAGACATTTCTGGGGGGGAATGGCCCTAGCCCTCACCCTCCGATCCAACAGGTCCCAGACATGCTCAATGGGATTGAGATCCGGGCTCTTCACTGGCCATGGCAGAACACTGACATTCCTGTCTTGCAGGAAATCACGCACAGAACGAGCAGTATGGCTGGTGGCATTGTCATACTGGAGGGTCATGTCAGGATGAGCCTGCAGGAAGGGTACCATATGAGAGAGGAGGATGTCTTCCCTGTAACGCACAGCGTTGAGATTGCCTGCAATGACAACAAGCTCAGTCCGATAATGCTGTGACACACCGCCCCAGACCATGACGGACCCTCCACCTCCAAATCGATCCCGCTCCAGAGTACAGGCCTCGGTGTAACGCTCATTCCTTCGATGATAAACGCGAATCCGACCATCACCTCTGGTGAGACAAAACCGCGACTCGTCAGTGAAGAGCACTTTTTTCCAGTCCTGTCTGGTCCAGCGACGGTGGGTTTGTGCCCATAGGCGACGTTGTTGCCGGTGATGTCTGGTGATGACCTGCCTTACAACAGGCCTACAAGTCCTCAGTCTAGCCTCTCTCAGCCTATTGCGGATAGTCTGAGCACTGATGGAGGGATTGTGCGTTCCTGGTGTAACTCGGGCAGTTGTTGTTGCCATCCTGTACCTGTCCCGCAGGTGTGATGTTCGGATGTACCGATCCTGTGCAGGTGTTGTTACACGTGGTCTGCCACTGTGAGGACGATCAGCTGTCCGTCCTGTCTCCCTGTAGCGCTGTCTTAGGCATCTCACAGTACGGACATTGCAATTTATTGCCCTGGCCACATCTGCAGTCCTCATGCCTCCTTGCAGCATGCCTAAGGCACGTTCACGCAGATGAGCTGGGACCCTGGGCATCTTTCTTTTGTCTCAGTAGAAAGGCATCTTTAGTGTCCTACATTTTCATAACTGTGACCTTAATTGCCTACCGTCTGTAAGCTGTTAGTGTCTTAACGACCGTTCCACAGGTGCATGTTCATTAATTGTTTATGGTTCATTGAACAAGCATGGGAAACCTGTGAAGACCTGTGAAGTTATTTGGATTTTTACGAATTATCTTTCAAAGACAAGGTCCTGAAAAGGGGACGTTTCTTTTTTTTGCTGAGTTTAGATGAGTAAATGACTATGACCACTGAGAAATTAAGTATTCTGTGAAAAGCCTGACCAAATATGTCATTCAGTTTTGGAGGGGTCTGCTAATGGCAGGTTTAAGAGAAGAACCCAGTCTATGTGCATTGAAAAATGGCTAGCACACAGGGCTTTGACAGCTTGTCAGGTTATCCTGGCTCGGCCTCCTCATCTAGAAGGTCAGCTTTAAAATTCAGCTTCGGGGCGCTGACTCAGCCCTTTCTATTGCATTAATCATTCCCAGATTTTGCCCTTCTGATGACAGCAGGTCAATGTCTAGCTTTTCTGGCGATGCAGCCTCAAACCACTAGCAAAGGTATGGGCCATAGAACTAGAATCAATGCAATTATATTTCTATGGTATGGGCATTGGGCAGGTACACTTAAAAGGCAGGGTACTTTACCTGGCATAATCCCAACCCTTGCTTGGATGGTGTGAATTGAGTAGTTTACACTTCAATAACACTGTTAAGACAGTGGACAAAGGCAATGTCCTGTGAAGTGTCTTATATGTTAGATCAACTGCCTGAGCTCCTT